TAAGTACCACCCTTATATTTCAATAATCATATCTAAAAACTTTTGCCTAGGAGTTCGTGCTACTCCCATTTGTTGCAAATAACCGTTAACGGAGGTAGTATTTACAAACAAGATTACAAAAAGTACATTATTATATAAATAATCTATATGATATCGTATGTCTACATATTATGCATTATCAAAAGGAATTATAGGACCGTATTTAACATTCAATCCAAAAAGTTTATTCTAAAATTTTATAAACAATCTAGGCATTGATCGGGCACTAAACTAGTATATAAATAAAGGAGAGGTTTTTCAGGAGCATTCTGCGTGCCAAATAAACAAAACTATTATTTTGACCAATGGAAAACTAGATTTACATTTTATTTTAGAATTCAAAAATTCATCGCCATCTAAGCAAAAATCACGAATGAGATTTGAGAATTTAACCACGTAGATGAAAAATAACAAATTAGTAATTTATGATTTTAATTATTTAAAAAACAAAAATTATTTTTTATATTAGTATTTAAATTATTTAAAAATTAATTAAAAAAAATTAAAAATATCTTTTGGTATTAATGATTTTATCTAAATATCCGATTAATTAATGAGATAATATATTCATAATTTATTTCAATTTTATAAATCCATGTTCTATTTAAGTAACTAATGAATGAGATAGTAAAATTAATCAAATAATTTATAAACTTAAGAAAAAAATAATAGCAAAAAAAAAGTTAGATATTAAGAGATTACAAGAAATATACAAAATGTGTATTGTTTGGGAGCATTCGGCGCACATGCCGCACCACATAAGCAGGAAACTTATTTCAATCAATAAAAAGAGATTTGTATTTTATTTTATAATTAAAAAATTCAATCTCCACTTAAGCAAAATTAACAAATGAGATTTGAGAATTTAATTTCAAATGTAAAAAGAAACAACAAATAGTGATTTATGATTTAAACTATTTGAAAAAAAAAATTATCTTTTCACATTAAAGTTTGTATCCTACTATGTGAAGAATAAGATAACATGTTTACAATTTATTTATATTTAATAAACAATTGTCACGTAACGAACAACAACAAATAAGGTGGCATTATAAATTACATTAAAAACAATTTAATTAATTTATTATGTGGTGTTTTTTTTTTTCCAAAAATATTAAATAGCAAAATGAATCAAATAAAAATACATTAGAATCTAACTAGAAAATATAAATTTTTTAAACATATGTATTAAAAATCGTGCATTGCACGGGCTTTCATCTAGTAATTTAATAATTATAAGACTTAAAATTAATATATACTTCGTTTATGTGCCACGTAATTATTCCATGTTATTATTAATGAGAAAAAAAAATACAAGTTTTGAATATTGAACCTGATGAATATAAGATCACACTTCTTACCATCTTAGCCAATAATATAATTTGTGTTCTCTACATACATATAAATAAATATATAGATTTTTTAATTTGAGGCTATAATTAAATATATATTTAAGTAATACAAAAAAGGATAAAAAAAATAATTATGTAGCATGGAAAAAATGAACAAAGAGGAATAGTCTCAACAATTCCAAGACAATGGAGAGATATTATCTTTAAATCTTCTTTTTTAGTAACATTATATTTTAAAGTAACAAGCCGGTGCTTTGGGCCACACGCTAGTTATTATTATTATTATTATTATTATTATTATTATTTGGATTGCATTTATCCGGTAGTTTTCCTCTTTCAAATTTAACAAACTCTATTGGTTTGCAAAAAATACTACTTAATATATAAGATCAGAGATCGATGACATACCACATACAATTAGTTTGGCACAAATATTTTAGGAATAACTTGCTACAAGTCGCCTATATGTTAGTCATTTATATCTTCTTTTCTTGAACGTGAGACAATTAAACACCCAAAACGACATTCGTATGATTTTTTGTTCACACACTATGGGATTGAGAGTCATAGTCAATCAATCAAGCATAACCATTATGCATATAGGATCCAACGATGCAATGACAAGAGGCTTATGTAACGTGCCGTTCCACTATGTATGGATGATCAATCAGCGTGCATGATGATTTTGGTATCAAAGTTCTAATTTTCTATCAAAATTTAAAACTATCAAGATCAAACATGCCCTATCTTTTTTGTTTTTTTCCTTCTTTGTTTTTTCAGCAGACAATCGAGAAATTAAAGGTAGTAAGAACAAATATGAAAATCTTTGCTTGCCTATCGATCACTAAAATTTCTTTTCAATTTCTCCCAATCTCCTCAAGTCCCCATGACAATTGACACCCACGATTCTCATCAAGAAGGAACGAGTAAAATAAAGTAATTAAAGAGATGATAGAAGAAAGAAAATGACTTAATCGATCCTTAGACAGTAATAAACTTTCGGTATTTTGTAACTAGTTAGTGTCTCACCGGTCATCACAGATAGTGAGAATACAATGACATGTATGCGCACACGCATGCACATAACGACGTAAAAAAAAAAAAACCCTCAACTCCAAAATAAATGCAATAGCTCTCTTTTATAGGTCAAACTTAATAAAATTTGAATATGAATTCTTACTATTTTGATATTATAATTAAAAAAAAATTATAGTCATTTTATTTCTTTTAGGTCACAGCATTTAGTTTCACAACATCAAAATTTCATCATTCTAACAAATACTCCATACATAATTAAAGAAATTGATACTTAATTAGTATCACAACCGTGCAAGCATGTTGAAGTAAAAGACTCCTAAATTATTCAATCTATCTTATTTGGCATGTTAATTTATCTAATACATCCAAATAGCAATTCAATTCAAAAATATATACCTAAACGTGATTTATGATATGATGTCTTTTATTATTATTATTTTTCAATTATATATTTTGAGTGAGAAACTTTTCATTACTACTTTACAACAACTATTAAAAGTTATGTGCTGAATTTTTAAAATTTTATTATTATTATTATTATTATTATTATTATTATTATTATTATTATTATTATTATTATTATTATTATTATTATTATTATTATTATTATTAAGATAGTGTTTATTTTAATTAATCTCTTGTCAGGAAATCTACTATTGCCATATATAATTAACTGTTTTGAAGATGATGATGACCCGTTTGGTACATATTATATATTAATCATGGGAATGGTATTAAATTTGAGTGTAAAATAGTGAAAAAAAATTGTATGTCATTCAATACCATTAACAATGATAATGAATCCTCATCTCTTTACTAGCTTCATTTCATTATTAATTTTCATTATCATCCATTACCTTTTATAACGAGGAATTGAGTGGCCTGCTAATGAAAATTCATAAAGAAATTCTAATTTATGGAGATGGAGTACCATTATCGTGACCAGGCCTGGTTCTCCCTCTATCCCTTTTATTTTTTTTTCACCATGTACCAATTTTTTGTGAGAGCTTTAATTTTAGGTTAAATCGGATTTTATAAACAAATTTATCCACCTATAAGTTCATTACTATTCTCATGATTTTAATCATTAACCACACAGACCGTTTACATTTACTAAAATACACTCGTACTATATTGTGTTTAAAAAAGAAATATACTTCTTTTTTCTTTATTGTCTTAATTTGAAACCTTTGATTTAATTCGAGGAAAGGGAGACTCTAATTATGTAAAATCTTTGATAAATGTAAAACCTTTGATTTAATTAGAGGGAAGGGAGACTCTAATTATGTAAAATCTTTGATAAATGTAAAACCTTTGATCTAATTTGAGGAAAGGGAGACTCTAATTATATACAATCTTTGATAACTAAATGTAACAAGAACAATTTACGGGATCCTATTAAATTCTCCAAAATGTTTTACTTCAAAATATTTAACTTTAATTTTACCTTATTATAATGTGTGTGCCTTTTTATTTTTATTTTTTTTATTTAGGAAAATAATAGAGCAATTTTATTAACTGTTATTCAATCCCGCCAAAGTTAAAAATACTTTGAGGGAAGGAGTCAAGTCGTACATACTTCGAACATTCACCAGTCCCCCATCTGGTAACTAGATGAGCAACTGTGTTTAACATGAGTAAAAATAATACAACTATCAAACTAAGCTCTATCAATCCTAATGTCATCATAAATCACAAATAAAGGAGAAAGACCCCCTGTATCTGAGTTAACCTGCTTTACCACATTCACGGCATCACATTCCACCTATAAGTTCTTATATCCCAGCCTTCTCGCGAGCCTTAGAGCATACAAAACAGCCATTGCCTCAATGTACTCCGGTTGGCTACCGTTCACCTTTTTCGTTGCTGCACATAGCAGGCAACCCCCCACATCACGACCTATCACTCCAAGCCGAGCAGCTCTAGAGTTAGGAACATGGGCATCCGTATTAAACTTCACGTATCCAGATTGGGGGGGGGGGGGGAGATGCCAGGCATCAAAGCTCGTATGATTTGAAGGATCAACTACACGCTGTATTACCTTGCGAGCATAAGTGTTGTATTCTTATACTAGTTTGCAGAAACCAGAAGCTAACATGACATAGTTCGACCTTTCATTATCAAAAATTAGTAGATTCCTACATCTCCATGCCGCCCAAATTAGTACAGCCATAGAGCATAAAACTTCAGCATTATATTTACGAACAAGCCAATCCATGGTGCAACAAAAGATTCATTAGGGGCACCCACCAGATTACACTTCAGCTTTAGGTCCCAGATTTCCTTAGCAGCTTCACAATAAAAAAGGGTGTGGATAATGGTTTATTCCATTACTCCACAAGTTTGGCACGAGCACTCGTTCAGAATACAAGGATGGCGCAACCTAGCCTTCATAGCCAAGTTTCCCTTCACAGCACTCCACATAAAATGCTAAAGCTTCGGAGGCCCCTTTAATCTCCAGACTGACTTCCACACATCTTCATTTAAGCCCTCATTGTGACCCTCAAAGCCACCCATCTTAGCGAGCAAATAACTCGACCTTACAGCATACAACCCTGACTTAGTCCACCCCTAATATCTCTTGTCAGCACACGGCACAGTAGGCAGAGGGATAGTAAGAACAGCAGTGCACCACTCAGGCCCCATAACACTTGAGATCATCGAAGCATCCCATCCACTTCTATCTTCATACATTGACTCACTTACCTTCACACCACCCACTACATCACCACTTATAGGAATTTTACCTTACCTTCAACAAGCAACCAAGTGTCAGCCCATATATCAATATTTGAGCCATTCTCTACTCTCCACACCAAACCATCACACAACAAACCCTTGGCACCCCACATGCTCCGCCAAGAAAAACTAGGGTCAAAACCCCTATTAGCTTCAGTAACCGACGAGTTCTTGAAGTACTTAGCCTTTAATATCTTGTGGAGTAAGGTTGACTCATTTGTATGCAAACGACAAAGTTGCTTTACAAGGAGGGCATGGTTAAAGCATTTTAGATCTCGAATCATGCCTCCCTTTGCCTTTGGTAAACACAATTTATCCAAATTTTTCCAATGCAATTTCCTCATATCTTCCCTAGAACCCCACCAAAACTTACATAATAGAGAATAGATTTCATCAATAAGGCCCTCCGGCACCTTAAAAATACTCTTCATATATGTTGGGATAGCTTGAGCCATAGCCTTGAAAATAACTTCCTTGTTCGGTCTCGACATCAACCTCTCCTTCCACCCATTCACCTTCTTCTAAATCCTTTCCTTCAAGCAGGCAAAAATTGAAAGGAATGGTGTCCTTCCAACAAGTGTATTATTCTGATAGAGGGTTCAGAATTATCAGGAAACTAATTCTTCAGTGAGATCAAGTGATCGGAATGTCTGGGTGGAGGCCGCTTCCGATCTGTAATATTAGTGAACAATTAATATTACAGCTTTATCTTGACTGAACCCTTCGGGTCGAACCCAAACAAACTGCCAATCCGAACCGACGAATCAATCCGAAGGATGGGATGAGTCACTAGAATATTACGAACTCAGACGTCGGATATCGAGCCTAGGGCGTTGAGAACGAGCGTCGCAAAATCAACAAGCAACAACTTCGAGCAAAGCCGTAGCATCACATTGGCCTAGACATGTGGTTGCTAGGCAAGCTTGAGCTAGCACCGCACCATCGCAACACCATGGGTGTGCGTGTGTGCGTGCCTTTGCATGGCACAACACCGTCGCAGCATGCGAGCTTGCGTGTGTGCGTGCATCGCTAGCACTAGGCGCACAGCATGCCTCGCATAGCTAGGAACTTGTGTGTGCGTGCCTTCGCATAGCAGCACGCTGTGCTTGCTTGCGTGTGTGCGTGCCTTCGCATGGTAGCACCAAGCAGCAGCATTACTAGCTACTATCTTCATCGAAACGCCGTTTTGAGACATCTTTGCCAAAATAAAATTACTAGCTACTACGACTAGGATTAATCTAAATTAAGGTACAAAAATACTCAACGGTACGCATACCGTATTTAGATTTACAAAAATACGTAACGGAACGCAGTCCGTATTTTCTATCCTAATCGGTCCCCACTAGAAGCTCGTTTTAATTAATTTTAAAACTCGTATTTTTCTTATTTTGGCTGACGAATCAGATTTCGACTCAAAAATAGTGATTTTTGGGTAGAATCGATGTTCAAATTCGTTTCTGACCCTTTCAGCATTGTCCAAAAGCCAAAATCCTCGTAGAAATATGTTTTTCGAGGGGTTTTTTGTTTTTGACAAAAAATTTTAAATCTTTATGCCTTGATTAATTTATGCATGTCAAGGGTAGATTAAATGCATTGATTGCATCCCTAATCTATAGCAATTTCAAACCCTTTTAAGCATGGTTATGAAGTCATAATGTGTGCTTAAGTTGGTATGTTCAATTTTTCACATAAACTCGTTATTTCACAATCATGCAAATCAATTGCATTAAAGTGTAAATGTTTATTGTGAATGTGAAATTTTAAAGTTCCTAGTTTATTAAAGATCCAATCTTTAAGTGTTTAAATGGTTGGAACTTTGATTCTAAATTCCATGTTGAACTATCTTTGGATTTATTCATTTTGGTTGATTAAAATCCTTAAAGTTCAAGTGCTTGTGATTGAATTTTGATTAATCTTCATATTGGAAGATGTAATTTTATTATTTTACAGAAGTTAAAAGTTGGAAAATTTTCATTGGATGATTGGTTTTATTTTCCATCTCCCTACTTTGTCAAAACTCATCATTAATTTACATTTGGGTTAAATTAATTATGGGTGTAGCCCTTCAATGTTAAAGCATCAAGAAAGACCTAAATTATTTCAAAAGGTAATTTTGGATGATTTAGGCTTGTGCATCATTAAAATTGAATTTAATTAAGTTGGACTTATTTTAATTTCATTTTTGCCTTAAGTTAATTTCAAAATAAATTTGGGATTAATTTTATGTCACAAGTAAATCAGGATTAAAATCCTGAAAAACGGCACACAAATCGAGGCAAAAACACCCAAGCATCACCAAGGCTAGCCGGGCTGCCTAGCAGCCCGCATGTGGCTGCCTTAAGTGCGCACAAGGGTGCTTACGCCTTGAGGTGCTGTTGTGCTGTGTGGCATGGCTGTTGCGTGCTGCCGTAGTGCTAGGTGCGTGGCTGGGCTGCTGGAGTTGCTTGGGCAAGCTGCTGGGCAGCATGGCAGGAAGCCCCATCCAGCCAGCCATATGCTGCTAGGCGCCAGCTAGCAAGCTAGCATGCGTAACGAGCTGCTGGTGCTGGCTAGCGTAACATGCTACGCTGGGCGTGGATGTTGGCACCCAACATAGTAGGCGCAACACAAGGGACTGCATAGCAGCCTTAGTGGGCAGCCTACAAGGGTTTTGGGTGGGTCGTCTTTTGCTTAAATTTTGGGCTATCGTTTTTGCAAAATTTTGCCATTTTTTAAAATATAATTTAATTATTTTAACGAGGTTAGACCTCGATTTTTCCGGCTCTTGCAAAATTTTAATTTTGACAAAATTTGGGTTAACATGCTTAATTAATTAGATTAATTAAGTTGGATGCAGAATTTAGTGAGAGCTTATGAATTTTTCGTGAACAAATTGCGCCTTAATAAACATAATATGATTAAACAACTTTGACTAGTTTTAATTAGGCGTGTTAATCGGATTAATCACCTAAGTTAGTTACTAGTTTTCGCGTGTTGTGCATTATTACTTGTTTTTCGTCGTAAAATGCATGGGCCATTCACATATAGTGAATGGATGAATGGAAAATATTTTGTTTCACAGGTTTCGTGAAAATAGCAACTAGTGGGGCCCGATTAGGATAGAAAATACGGAATGTGTTCCGTTACGTATTTTTGAAAATCTAAATACGGTATACGTACCGTTGGGTATTTTTGTACCTTAATATTTAGATTAATCCTAGTCGTAGTAGCTAGTAATTTTATTTTGGCAAAGATGTCTCAAGACGACGTTTCGATGAAGATGAGCCAAGATGAAGACCCTTGAAGATTTGAAGATTTCAAGGGGTCATGCTAGTTGCCAAATGCATCTATTTTATGCTTTATATATAATTGTGCTTATATATATATTTGAATGTTAGATGCATGTCTAGGATTTCAAAATGTTGAGATGATTAGTTAAGTTCACTTAAATCAACCAACATAGAAACCCTAGGTCCCTAAAATATTGAGCTAAAATTTGCCGTTCCAAGAATAACACTTACCGAACTAATGCGCGTACGTGATGGGCTACGCCAAAGCGAGGCATCACTACCTCCTAGGAACGTAAGGTATACTAGGTATACGAGTTGATCTTGGTTAAGCTCAATAATATAAGTAAGGAGTCCTTAGATGTCGAGGCAAAAGAGATAAAATGTCAAGAATGCATTAGATGCGACGTTTTATCAAACCGAGAGTAGCTTAGAGCTATTAGCAATTGGATATCTTACCCTAAAATATTAAGTATTAAGACAAGCCAAAGCATGCTTAATCACTTTTTGATATTTGGGATCTCGAAATCATTTTATTCTCGCCAAAAGGGACAAATTATTAATGCGTGGATAAAATGTTCAATAAGATTGAAAATTTGCATGAACGCTTTTAAATTTCAAACTTATTGATTATATGAATGGTTTTTCATTTCAAATTCTTTCAATTGTAGAACCATGTCTGCAAGTAACTCAAACAACCAGTTTTCATTACGCTCAATTCTCGACAAGGAGAAATTGAGTGGGCCAAATTTTCTCGATTGGCAAAGGAATTTGCGTATTGTTCTCATGCAGGAGCAAAAGGAATACGTCCTTGATGAGGAAATGTCCGAAACTCCCAATGAGGAGGTCACTCAGGCTGCCCTTAACCGATGGCAAAGTGCCAACCGGGATGTCAAATGCATCATGTTGGTCACTATGTCTCCAGACCTTCAAAAGACTTTCTTTGAAAAGGAGACGGCTTTTGAGATCATTTCTGAGCTTCAGAATATGTTTCAAGAGCAGGCCCGAACTGAAAGGTTCGAAACCCACAAGCAAATCCTTGAGAGCAAGCTCAAGAAAGGAGAGTCGGTTAGCCCGCATGTTCTTAAAATGATTGGATTGTTTGAGAACATGGAAAGGCTCGATGCTAGGTATTCAAACGAGATGGAAATTGACATCATTCTCCACTCGCTGTACAAAGGCTATGATCAGTTCAAAATGAACTATAATATGCACAGCATGGAGAAAACTCTCACCGAGCTTCATGGTATGTTGAACCAGGCCGAGCAAACCCTCAAAGATGAGGGAAAGCATGATATGCTCATGGTGAGAAAGGGAAAGCCATTTAAGCGCTCGGGCAAGAAGAAGAGCTTTAATGGGAAAAAGAAGAATTTTTCGCCTAAGTCAAACACTGCCAAAAGCAGCAAGGACAAAAACGTAGCCTTTTCCAAATCCGACTCCGAATGTTTCTACTGCAAGAAGAAGGGACATTGGAAACGGGACTGCCTCAAATTCAAGGAAGATAAGAAGAACGACACCGTTGCTTCTTCATCAGGTATTTTTGTTATAGACTTAAACTTCGCTAGCAAAACATCATGGGTATTAGATACCGGATGTGGCTCACACCTTTGTTCCAATGCTCAGAGACAAAGGATAAATAGGAGGCTAGAGAAGGGAGAGGTCGAGCTTCGGGTCGGCAATGGAGCAAAGATGTCTGCTGTCTCCGTTGGAACTCTCAGTTTGTCTTTGCCCTCTTGGATCATTTTAGAACTTGACAATTGTTATCACGTTCCTAGAGTTACCAAAAACATTATTTCAATTTCGGCGTTGGACGCCAAGGGTTTTGAATTTTGAATAAAGAACAATAGTTGTTCATTTTATTTCGATAATGTTTTATATGGTAAGGCATATTCAGAAAATGGTCTTTATGTGCTTTCTCTTGACAAACAAGTTTATAACATTAATGATACCGCTAAAAGGGCTAAGACCATTGAGTCGAATCAAACCTACTTGTGGCATTGTCGTCTTGGCTATATTAACATCAAACGCATCAAGAAACTTCTACAAGAAGGTGTTCTTGACTCATTCGACTTGGTGTCGTTTAAAAATTGCAAAGGATGTCTATTAGGCAAGATGATAAAGCAACCATTCTCCAAGTTGGGAGAAAGGGCAAGTGACTTATTGGGTCTAATACATACGGACGTATGTGG